AGAAACTTATAGAATCATAAAATGGCTTGGTTTGGAAGAGACCTTAAAGATCATCTGGTTTCAACCCACCTGCCATTGTAGCAGTCCTCAGCCAGAAAAAGCTGAAATGGTTCATTAAGTTTATACAGGTTTTATTGAAGTCCCACAGAAGTCACTGGGTAGACTCCAGTCAGTTTCAGATCAGGCTTATGGTTCAAAGGGTTTTCCTCTGTGTGATCTACTAATATCCTCATCACTTAGCTACTGTGTTCTTTCATTCTTTTTTTAACGGGAGAAGTGCTGATTCTTTCTTAAAATACTGTAAATTTCTGTCACTTGTTCAACAGCTTACTTAAACAAGGACAACCTCTGCAACTGTACAACTTGTGCAGAAATCTGGAGTGATTACACTCTTTTCTTGTAGAACTGCCATTTTAAGTGTTATGGCAGCTATTGAACACATTGAGAATATCTCAATTTAATTTATAAGTTCAGATAGTTTCTTATGTAAGTTATAATAAAAACTCTTTTGGAAAGATTTAATTGCTTATCAGAGCAATCATTAATCAGTCTGGAGACATTGAACTCAATGGAATTCTCGGATGCCGCATCATAGCTGGAGTTCCTAGCAGCTGTATAGAGCCGATCATCTTCTCTAGGGATTACAATCTTCTTATCCCATTTTCTAGCCAATGAACATTTACTTTTCAGTTAAATGGGGTTCAGTTACAAAATCAAGTGTCTGCCAGAAATCTTGCATGTGCCCTGGAGAGTTCAAGAACTGCTTCCAGTTAAAGCAAAATGTTCCTGATAAAAAGCAGGTTTAGAGGAAACTGTTTACTTTTCTGATTAGACCTGCTGGAATAATTTCTTTAAGGATATAATTCAGGGCAAATTTAGCAGTTTTTATAATTGGAAACTGTCCCACTTGCGAATGAAAATTTGCTGTTTTATCTTTTTCAAATGTTCATGTTACTGTCCCTAGGAAGGCAGAATCATAGAATGTCTTGAAAGGGACCTTTAAAGATCATCTAGTTCCAGCTCAACTGTTTCTTATTTCCCCAACAAGCTGGCTAAGGGGACCCTCGGGATAGCAGCCTATCAGTGCTGGTGAATGAAGAGGATGGCCATTGGCTCACTGGCGGAATGTGCTTCCCTTCTCGTGTTTCCCTTCTTAATGAACCTGTTTAACTGACTTAAGTTCCCATGATACAAGTTGGTTTCTTTAACTTTTCTTTTTCCCAACTTCTTTGGCTTTTAGATCTAAAATTGTTTTTCATAGAATTGTAGAATTTCTCAGATTGGAAAGGACCTTAAAGATCATCAAGTTGAACCGCAACTTAACCATACTACCCTAACTATAACAACCCTCTGCTAAATCATGTCCCTGAGTACCACATCCAAATGTTTCTTAAACACATTCAGAGATGGCAACTGAACCACCTCTTCGGGAAGCCTATTCCGGTGCTTAACAACCCTTTCTGTAAAGAACTTTTTCCTGATATCCAACCTAAACTTACCCTGGAACAACTTGAGGCCATTTCCCCTCATCCTGTCACCTGTCACCAGTGAGAAGAGACCAACCTCCACTCTCGCTGTAAGCACCTTTAAGATATTGGAAGAGAGCAATAATGTCTCCCCTCAGCTTCCTTTCCCCCAGACTAAAACAGCCCCAGTTCCTTCAGTCTCTCCTCACAGGACACATTCTCCAAGCCTTTCACAAGCCTTGTTGCCCTTTTTTGGACCTACTTCAGCACCTCAATGTCCTTTCTGTACTGAGGTGCCCAAAACCAAACACAGTACTCAAAGTGAGGCCTCATCGATATCGGGTAGAGGGGCGGGATTACTTCCCTAGTCCTGCTCACCACACCATTCCTGATTCCTTAGCCCTGTTCATAAATTCATACAGTTGAACTTGGCCCATTGATTAGTCATCTATCCAGGTCCTTCCGTAGTGCCTTTCTCCCCTCTGGCAGATAAACACTCCCTCCCGACCAATTTCGTTTTAACCTACATAATTGTCATCTCAATCCTTTAGCAAGGGTAACAAAATTGCCATTTTAAAAGAAATTCCAACTGCCACTCTGAAACACAAAGCAAAACTTCTCCAAATGTACAGAGCACATCATGGCAAAGATTTTGTATGTTCCCACCTGCTTACTCTTGTGGCAGATGGGATCAAACCTGCACCACCTATTTTTAGTCACAGGGGGGCTGCAGTGCCTGAAGTCTCTGCTGGATTAGCATGGCAGGGAAGAGCATACGTTCTTCCAGAACGTCCCAGCATGGGCTATGGGTTCACTCCACACTTGCTTTCAAATTCTTTCCTGCTATAAGCTTCTGTGTAGTGCAAATGACTAGTGAGTGTTACTGAGTTTTGGAAGGAGTTTAAGTCTAGTTGCATGTATTGAGAACCTGATATGAAAGCAGATGGAAACTTGGCCTTACATTTCAGCCCATGCATGTGGTCAAGGATAATTTGCTTTAAAATCTATGATATTATTACGAACAACTGAAACTACGCTTACTGCTGGCTTATTTTAAGGTCATCTGAAAGCTTGTTATGCATTGGAAACACCTTTTTTCATCTCTAGTTTTCATTTTCATTGACATTAAGTCATTCTAGTCACAGTTTGTTCTGCTGGTAGGTAAAATCTGCAAAGAACTTTGAGACAAATATCCTGCATGTTGCCAATTTTTCCCTCTTGCAAAGCCTTTCATTGCCAGTGAAGTGAATTAGATACTTGAGTGCAGACTCAGCATTTAAAATTTCCTCCAAGCTCCATCATTGTGTATTTATAAGATCTGTAAATGTCTTTAACTGCTTTGGTTGGAGATACTTGAATCACTGTAAATGTCTAAGATTCTAAAGATTTGTCATCACATTTCAATTTGTAAACCTTTAAAATGCTCTAGAGAAAGTTAGCTTTATTTGTTTATATCTTTGCAGTAGACTGCTTTCTGTAATTTGTCTGTCTGTCATGATTAGATAGAAAATGGAGGTGGAAATACAGCAACAGAAATAACTATGACAACAACAAAGAAAAAAACATCCAGGGGAAAAAAAAAAAAAAAAAAAAAAAAAAAAGAAAAAAAAACAACCAAAACCCTCTGGTGTCTCTTTTGCAGAAAAACCCAGCGGGTAGCAGAAAAGGCTGAGAGAGCAAATTTCCATTTTACTTCCCCCCTGACTAATGTTCAGATAAGTTTGGATAAGCTCTGGATTATATTTCAAAACTCATTTTAACATGATATACCCAAGGATACCTTTTGCATTCTTAAATCTTCTCTGTAGCATTTGCCTAACAAGGCAGGGAATATATAAATTGATATAGATATATATCTGTCAAAGGTTGTTTCATGCAGAGATAAACTCAGTCTCTTTCTGGCACTTTATTTATTTTCCATTTTAGAATAAAGGTTAGAAAGACATTTGAAAGCAGTAGGGAACTAGTTCCATCAGCTGTCTTAGATTTCAGTAAGGAATTCCCCAAGTACTGTACAACTTCTACACATCCATCAAGTGCTGTTCATTATAATTATCCTGTTAGAGTGAGATACCAGCTCTGATGAGAAGTGGTACCATGGAGAAAGCCATTTATTCAGATGTTTTTATCAGATTCCAGTTGGTATTTTAGAAAGACTAGTTCAAAGCAACCTGGCTGCAACACTTGCCTGGAAGTGCTTTGAAAAACATAGCTCCTTGAACATATTCTCTCTTTATACGTAGGTAAGATTTTATTGTATGGCTTGAATGACCTGTTTGGGTTATATGCAATGGCTGAACAAAACAGCACAGTTGGTGTTTTACCAGCACATATCACTACCGCAGTGATATATGCTGGTACAGATTCTGCTATTGCTTTGAGTAAATGTGGTGGCAGACAGCACCATTGTTTGAGAGTTGAAAGACTAAGGTAATCAATTAAGCTTAGTGTTGAAGTGATGTTGAATTTCACCATTATTGCTGTATATGTAACATTTTAATATTTCCTCAACATTTCCCCCATAAATAATGAGACCTAGCATAGGTCAAGAAATCTAACAAATTTTGTTTCATTCCACTATGAATACTGTATTTAAGTGACTTCTAGTTTGAATTTTCTTATGAATTTTGAATTTTTTTTTTTTGAATAATAATTTCTAACTGTGTTATTATTAAGTGGACTCTTGTTATTTTGGAGTAGCGTAAGGCTGTGTCATGTCCTTTATAGGCTGTGCCACATTGGGTGAATGAAAACATTACTACTACTGCTATTGCGGGTTATGTATTGAATTTTGGAATATAGCCAAACTTGCCTCATGTTTGGCCCCTTGAATTCAATTGAATAAGGGAGACTTGAATTAAAGATTTTATGCTATCAGTAAATGGGCAAAAAACTCCAAAACTATTATACTTGTATGTTTTAGCTTATATTTAGAATATATCTAGTCTATTTTTGAGGATTCCTGTGCATTTGAAGATACTTTTTCAGTTGCATCTTTCCTTACTCACAGCTGTGTAATCCCATCAGTACAGAGCCAATGCAAGACCTTTGTATCATGTGCCACAGTATGTGAAGGTTCAGGAAAATTTGCTAGCACTTCAGTATCAGTTCTTGAAGTCAGCATAGATCCAAATGACATATAGCTAAATTTGGGCTTAAAAATTTTGAAATGAAAGGCTCTTGGAAACATGGAGCAGAGACAGCCACATGAAGATGGTCTGTCTGGGCTAGAACTGACTTGCACAAATATGCCCTTCTGCACTGAGGTGTGGACCTGATACAGAACATTTAGAGCATGTCTAAATCCTTATAGGAACTCAGATTTTTGTTTTATGTATGTATGTACTTTATTTTTGAGGTGAGAATACAAACTTTCATATACATTTTCCTTAAAAAGATACGTGCCCTAATGAGATCCAAGACCTTGAGTAAAAATACCAATTTCAGCCTTTAGCACCATTAGAAATCCAATGAATTTATTTAAATATGATGTTTTTAAAGACATTTTAAAAGTTTGCTTTTTATTATTTGCAGGGGAATGTGACCTTTTCCTGCTCAGAACCACAAATTGTTCCCATCACCTTTGTCAACTCCAGTAGAAGCTACTTGTTACTGCCTGGAACTCCTCAAATTGATGGGTTGTCAGTCAGTTTTCAGTTTCGAACGTGGAATAAAGATGGCTTACTCCTGTCCACTGAATTGTCTGAAAATTCAGGATCTCTTTTGGTTTATCTCCATGGTGGGAGATTGACACTTCTTATTCAGAAAATGGCAGAAGACCCAGTGGAAATCAGTGAAGGTATTTTATTTTTGTTTTCTCTCACCTTTCCCTATTAAAACACCAGGAGCTTGACTCCATGGGAAGAAAGGGTAACAAAGTGAGGAACTACTGTACATTCCTCTTTGTTTACAAATCGTTTCTCACTTTTCAGTGGTAGAACCATTCTGTAGATTGAGATATATCTCAATATAGAAAGTTGGCATCCTGAGATCTACAGGCTAATTGTGCTTGACATTTATCTTAGTCGCTGTGTTTTCTAAGTCATGCTAAATCTTCTTCAGTCAGGTCACATGAAGACCTTAATGCTACTTGTCCTCATATTGTGCTGAAGTCAGCTGGGAGCCAGTTTGGCAGCAGTGCCTTTCAGCACAAGTTAACAGTTTCAGAGCTGATTTTCTTCCTCTTAACTGTTGCTTTGTATGAGAATACTACCGTTTATGCTCTGCTCAGGGAAGACTGACCATAGGCTTCCTCTCCTCCTCAGTCCACCTTAGCCAGTTTGCAAGATGTTTTGTGCAGCTGGAGAGATGCAAGTGGGTGAGATTGGGCTTATCCCTGGCTTAAAATTCAGGAGAAGTTGCTTGTAAATGCTAAACATGAAGTTGTGCTTTGGCTCTAAGAAACAACAAGAAAATTTCAGACTGTACACCAGCGTGGCCCAGCTGCCATCTCAGTTTGCCTTGTATATGCCCTACTGATGACCCGAGGAGAAATATTCTGTCCTAGGGCCTTACACATTCCATGCTGCTATGCACCCACACTGAGTGGGAGACCCAGAAATTTATGACCACATAGACTGAATACTTGGTTCCTAAATGTGGATGGATAATAGGCTGATGGAACTCAGAGGTCTGAAGAATAACATTATTTTCTAAAAGAACATCTGTTTAAAAATATGTAATGTTAAAATATTCCCAGTGCAGAATTAAAGAGGACAGATGTGTCTGTTAAAAGAAGTAAAGAGAAAATCTGGCGGAGCTGTCAAAGATGAGCTGTTCTGTATGTGCGTTTCATTCCCTTTTGTAAAAAGAAAATGAGGCAGCCGCAGATCTATTCTTATTCGTGTGGATTGTTAAAACCTCAGCTTGCCACAACTGAATGTTGAAAATGGAGTTTCAAGTCTTTATTGCAGGTCCTACTGAGACTGTTGACAAAGCTGAGAGAGAATGCCAATATTTGGTTGTATTTGCTTTTATGTAGTTCTGAAATTATGAACCTGATCCCAGCCTTTGGTGCCATCCAAAACACTGCTAAACTGCCTACTTACACATGGAAAATATGCAAAAATTGCAAATACCACCTCCTACATATGTTGGATTCTCACAATAGACTCGTGCATGCTCGAGAATGGATCTGGTTTTGACCCAAATGTAACCTGTGTTGTCATGACATCTTTTCAAATTTAACCACCATATTTCACTTCGAAATTGACTTGTTTTAGCTGAAAACTCATTCACATTTCTCTGGGAAATTGCTGTCTTATTGTATGAAAATTGTGTCTGAGTTAGCAGCCATTTCTCTGGAAATTGTCTCATTTCCAAATTCATAATGAAATGGCTTTTCATACATTTAACACCCACAATTTTTTTATTTTGTTTTGAGCTGATCTCACACCTCTTTGTGTCACTAAGTGCTCGTTTGTTTCTTCTGAAAGCTACAATAACAAAAATTATCCAATTAGAGAGGGGAGTAAATGCTAATTTCCTCAGCCTGGTCTCAGTGACTGCAGTTTGATGATAGCACATGTCGAAATGTGATTAGGTTACTTTTGATCTTCACTGCTGTATGTGAATTTATAACTTTGCTCACTGGTTTTCCTGGCTTTCGAGAAGATAATGTGGAGTTTCTTTTTAGCTTGATGATGCCATTTCAAGAACACTGATATACAACACTGATTTTCAGAATATGGAGAGAGGTTATTTCACACTGTGCATAAGTATGTAACAGGGAGAGAGGTTGCTCAGTACCGTAGTCTCCCACATCCCTTCATAGGTTTCAGGACAGAGCAATAATCCAAGCTCTCAGAAAATCCATGTAAAAATCCATAAAACATATAAGAGATTTTGGTACATGTTTCCAGTAAGATTGTGTGCTAACTTAGTGCTGAAAGTTTTAAAGAAAAGGTTTTAAGAACAGATCCTACTGAAACATATTTGAGCTTGTCAGCTTTCATGTAGTGACCAAGATAGGATATGACCTTCTCACTGAATCTAGTTTCAGTCACGTGCTTATTCCCAAAAACGCAACAGAAGTCTGCTCTGCATACTCCAATGAGCTATTAGCTTTTCCTAATATACTCAAAGTAGACCTAATCCCAAAAAACATTATGTGCTACCATAAATGTAAAGAGTCCTGCCAGCTTGCTGAGTGCCTGCAGTATAACTAGCAGGTTGGATTAATAGGATCTGCTTACATGTTCTCAGAAACTTTCCCCTTCTTGGGCCTTTTCTCCTATGGCAATTTACTTCCAGAAGTAGAGTTTTTTCAAGCTACCAGTTCTGACCGTGTTGGATTCTGCTGTACTTTTATAGTCACAAGTTGGAAGCAAAGATTTGAAGTATACAGTAATATCCAGAGCTTCTATTATCGCCCTTCATATATGTATTTTTTTCTAGGCACCAATCTCCATGATGGGCTTTGGCATTCACTTAGCATCAACGCTAGAAGACATCGCATTACCCTGACACTGGATAACAATGCTGCCACTGCTAACCATGCAACCACTGTCTCAAGAATTTACTCAGGGAACAGCTACTATTTTGGAGGTAGGTTGTTTCAGATGGACACGTGGCAGATTTTCATGATATAGATTTTCAAATGCTGATCCCTGAAGTCTCCCAAGTATATTCTGCAGCCACATGCAAATTCTGCAATAACTGATTTTTGTCTACCTATTGTGTTGCATACAATGTTGTGTTGTGAGAAGATCAAAGATCTTGGTCAGGAGAGGAGGGGGGAGAGAAAGGGGAAAAAAAACTAACACAGCTGTAGAAGTGAACTTGCCAAGGAGTAGTTACACCTAGCTGGAAAAGCATTAAAAAGCTACATAGGTGTGTTAGCCACGTTTGGCACAAAAAAACACTCAATATAATGAGCCTCTGAGCTCTTGCATTAGGAAATCCCAACAGGAAAAGATAATCATTCCAATATATTTTTCTGCTTCTTTTTTTTTTTTTTTTTTTTTTTTTTTTCATCCTAATGGTTTATAAATACAGATCACATTAAGTGAAAATTCTAATCTGCCAACGTTACAGATATTAGGCAAAATAGAGCTGCTAATAGAAAATATCACGACAAAGATAGAAAGGACTGGAGGGGAAATGATTTCAATTACATGAGGCTCTCTCCACATTGACTTGTAGGAAATAGAGTATGCAAATCCAATAAAATGCAGATTGATAAAATGATTAAATTTTATGCATAAACAACGTTTGATTGCTTTGAGTTTTAGAGAGAAATGAAAGAGAAGGAAAAATTATTTGATTCATCAGAACATGTCATCTTAATATAGTAGCTGTTTTTGTTTATGCAGAACATCTATAGTTTTTCTTGTTAGCCATTATAGCACATTTATAATGAAGATATCATAGAATCATAGAACAATTTAAGTTGGAAGGGACTTTTAAGTTCATCTAGTTCCAATCTCCCTGCTATAGGCAGGGACAACTCCCTGTTAGACCAGTTTGCTGAAAGCCTCATCCAGCCTGGCCTTGAATGTTTCCAGGGAGAGGCATGCACAGCCTTGCTGGTCAACCTGTACCAGTGTCTCACCCCTCTCACAGTAAATAATTTCTTCCTTACATCTAGTCTAAATCTATCCTCTTTCAGTTTAAAACCATTTCCCCTTGTGCTGTTGCAACATACCCTTGTAAAAAGTCCCTCTCCATGTTTCCTGTAGGCCCTCTTCAGGTACTGGAAAACTGCTATAAGGTCCCCCCAGAGCCTTTTCTTCTCTAGACTGAAGAGTCCCAATACTCGCAGCCTGCCTTTGTAGGGGTGGTACTCCAGCCCTCTGATCACCTTTGTAGCCCACCTCTGGGTCTGCTCCAATACTTCAGTGTCCTTCTCATGTTAGGGGCCCCAGAACTGGCCACAGTACTCCACGTGGGTGTCATGAGAGCAGAATAGAGGGGCAGAATCACCTCTCTTGACGTACTGGTCACACTTCTCTTGATGCAACCCCAGATGTGTGATTGGCCTTCTGGGCGGTGTCCCCACTTTACTGGCTCATGTTGAATATTTCATCAACTGACAATGATGGTATACCTCATTATGGCATACAGTCAACATGGTACAGCTCAGGTAGCATATCGAGCATTTGGTAGGAAAGTGTTATGATGAAATATCTGTATCTACCAAAGAAATATTTCATATTTGTTACATATTAATATGGATCACTCATAAGTTGAAATCTGAGAGGAAGCACAGCTTTTCTCACCAAATCTGTAAGCTTAACTCATCAAATCTGTAAGCTTAACTATGGCAAAATTCAGGCAGATGCAAATTGCACTTAGTGTTCCTAGAATGGTGGACTGAATTTGCAAGACGCAGTTGATTTAACATATAAAAGTATAGACTTCTCTAGGAATTAAGAGAAAAGAAAGAATTTTGCTTTTTTCTTGGAAGAACAGATTGTTTAAGATTAAATGGGCCATTTGATTTAAATTCATCTGTTGAAACAGAAGACTTCTGGTATGTGGCAGAGGTGTTTTGAGGCATCTTAATGCTTTCATTGTCACCAGGTCTGGACTGCAGTGTAAATCAGTGGTGCTACTCTAGCTGTCTTCCATATCGTCAGTATCCTAAGCATGACAATCGTAAGTCTGTGATCATGCAATAAAACTACTTAAGGCAAAGATACACACATAATAAGAAAAGTGGGTCTTTATTTTACATAATGATTATCTGGAATATATTACACACACAAATAAAAACTATACATGGTCTAGAGAAGATTTAAGTGGTGTCTTATAGTACAATTCTCTGGATAGGCTTAAGTTTATGTCTCCACTATATGATCTAGGTGAAAAAGAGAGAGCCAATTAAAAAAGAAAAAAGAGGGTTAGAGTCACAGTTAACAAAAGTGATACTTTTACAGCTGAATTCAGTATATCAGTGCAACTGCCCTGAAGGGGAAGAAAGAAGCTTGCAGTGCAGGAAAGTACCGTACTGAAATTCAGAAATTCTCCTGGTAAATGAAAGGCATGAGCATTGCTAAAGCTTGTAGGGATTGCAGCTTTCACACTTAGTGAAACACCCAATGTGCTCTCCCTTCCTGAAATCTCTAATAATTATGCTGGAACAGTTTTGTGGGGAAGAAAGGAGGATTTTTTTTTTCTGAATCATGTTGCACATTTCACTAATCTGGGATAGGGTCCTGAGAGAGGCTAAAGTTACGAAATTGATTTCAAGAAGTTAGAAAAGTTGTTCTAAGACTCAGAGGGTGAAATACTGCTGGTGCAGAACTGAAGTCCTGAGTGGTCATAGCAGCAGTAGTTGGGAAGAGGTACAAAATTAAAAGAAAATACAGAAAATAAACAAATCCTCTGTGCTATTTGTCAACACAGTTGATCCTAATTCAGTCCTAGATAGTTAATCCAGGAAAAGGCTGAAAACAAAAATGTTCTTCTTACTAACCATTTTTAAATGTTCTAGGTTCTACAAGTCTGTATTATGGCCTAATTAGTTACAACAAATTATACGTGAAACATTTGGGAGAAGATTTGAATTCAGAATTCTGCCAAATTGAAAGTCTGCCTTGTTGTCCAGTCTAGCGTAGAATCATTGAATCATTAAGGTTGGAAAAGACTAGTAAGACTGCCTAATCCAATCATCAACTCATCCTCACCATGCCCACTGAAACACATCCTTCCATCACAACAGCTCTTGGCTTTTTAGGAAAGTTGGGGTCTAACTCCAGGTGTGCAATATGCGGCTGCTCATTCCTATTGTATAAGGAGTGTTAAAATTCTGTAAAAGCACTATCCACAAGAAATATAATCTTTCTTAATTGTAAGATTTATTGCTATGTGCACTGTAAAGCACATGTTTTTGTAATTTTAACGCGTGTGGGAATTATGTTTCTTAATTAACATGTAAATAGGATATTTGTCTTAGTTATCTGTGCAAAAAAAAGCTCTTTGAGGAATATGCTGCTATTTAGAAAGCAATTTGTTTGTTACAGAGTTGTAGGCCAAGCTCATTCAGACCTGGGCTCCGAAAGCAATGCTTAGACAGCTCACTGCAGCTTGTGCCGGCCCTTAAAAAGAAAATGAACAGGTTTATTTTGAAAGATGACAAGCTGGGACTACTGCTGATGCCAGCAGTATGTTTTTGAGAAAGCATCTAATTGTGTAAGCTTATTATGCATACACTGGGATTCCCAGAATAAAACAACGAGCCTCCATTAATCTAAATGGAGCGATTTGAGGGACTAAAACTTAAAATCTCATCACTTCATCTCAAGTATTTGAACTATATGTGTGCTCAAGTGAACTTTGGGCGAATGCCTTCTGTCTTCCTCTGTTTGTTTTTTCCATCCTTCGGTTGCTTTTTCTGGGAGATGAATGCTGTGACACTACCTGAGCTATCAAGGAATATACAGAAGAGATGGAGTTGTCCCTAGGAATATTCAGAGTTTGCCCTTCTTTCCATTGGTGTCTGAGTAGACAGTTCCTAGTGAAAATGCTTTTGCAGACACAAGAGAATCTGCTGTCACTGATTCTGCTTTGCCAGAGACCTCCAGGATTGCCTTTCAGCCTCAGCCATCCTGTGAATGAAACCACCCAGTAGGCACTCTGGTCCTGACTGAATGGGCCAGAAGGTATATGGGAAAGCTGGAATTAGCAGATAATATACAGAAAATTCACTTCTCTGCTTTCAGTGGGATGTTAAGACCTTGTCTGAACAGTCTGGAGTTCAGCACAGCAGTCAATATGGCCTTTCATCATCTTTCTGATGATCTGCTATCTCCTATTAAAAGACTGCCTGTTCCCAGCCCTAGCTGCAGTGTCAACACCACTTATGTTTATCCTATGACAGCTAAAGTTGTTTCTGATTTGCAGCCTTCTTGTTTGCTAGCTACACATTGCCCTTAGTTGACACATCCTGTGCGAAGAGGGGCATCCCCAGTTGGTTCATATCAAAGCTGTGTCTGCTCCGCGAGCTCTTAAAAATAGTGTCATATTCCTTCTGCCTCCTTCAAGGCAAAGTTCTTGTTTCCCAACACCTTGTGTTGGGAAAGTAAAATCTGCAGAAGAAAATAACATTTCTTATACTAGTGCACTTGTAAACCTCATGGCATGACTCCCTCTGCCTGTGCGCATTTAATCCATCTAGCAATGTTTTGTTTATAGTAGGTGTATTTGCTGTGGTTGTCCAAATGCGCAGATTGCTCTGTGTTTTCTGAGGGTGTTGCAAAGTGTGGTGCTTATACTGCTCTTGTTATGAAGCATTAGATGTCATAGAGCTTTCAATGCATTTTTCCCCAGGTAAAGAAAAAATGAGAAAACGAGATAATATCCCACTAAGCTAGAGAAGCCTGTTTCATATTTAAAAGAAAGTGGATATGTTACATTTTCTCTCTCTTTGTTGTTGCCTCTTCAGAATTTCTGCTTGATTAGGAGTGCAGATATGCAGCAGGGTGTGTTTGCTTTACACTGAATTAATGAGTGAGAAAATACAGTGTCTTGCAGCATGGTACAGAGCAGAAACTAACAAGGTAGAGGTGAAACATGAAGTGAAAGTGCCATGAAGTCCCCAAATTCAAAGACTTCTGAGGAGGGTAAGAGGTGTCTGGGTATCTATGGATTCTTTTGGAGCAGTATATGTCCAACACTGACCTTCTCTGACAAAAAGTCACCTAGTATAGGCCCAAGCGTATAAATGGAACTTCTCTTTGCAGATTTATTTTCAGTTTAGAATAAGATAGATAAAGTTCATGACTACAGGGACCGTACAGCCCTCGTTCTTGGGACTTAGCACTGTGTTTTTTGAGAAAGAGAGCGTCTTCTGAAGTAATATATCCAACCAAAAAGTTTCCAGGGAAAAGTTAGACCAAGAGAAAGCTTAATGAGGACAGAATGATGCTTTCTGTCTTTAGTCTTTAATCTTTATTTTTATCTGTTACAGTTTATTAGCACTTTCACTCCTAAATTTCTATTTTTGTGAACATATTCAGAGCCTGAACAGAATTGAGATAGAAAACATTCTCTGCAAAGAAAGATTAAGTGTGGTTCTTTAACCAGAAAAGAGATTGCTGAAGGAAAGCGTCATAATGGGCCTCAGGGGTAAAAGGCTGCTGTGCAGAAGGGACTGATCACCTCAGCCTGGATGTATGGAGAGCAGCCATGGCATAGGCTGCCTGCAGGGATCGCCAAGTCTCCAACACTGGTGGAAGGCTTTAAGAACAGGTTAGGTGAATCTGTGAGAAACAGCAAACACTGCTATAAATGATCCTGCCTTGGGGTATAGCATGGACTTACTGATCTCCTGTGTTCCCTTCCAGCTCTGCATGATTCCGTTGCATTTGCTCAGGCTTCTCCTCCAGCTAGAACAGCTGTGGCTTGTTCTTGCTTTAGGGGGGTCTGAAATGTCAACAGCAATAATATTGCTTAAGGGAAAAAAAAAAAAAAAAAAAAAAAAAAAAACAACACCAAAAAACTGTAGGAAATATGTCAGGAATTCAAATCAGAATTTTATTGCATACCTGTAAGAGCTCATTTGGGATGCATCTCTCAGATGCTGTAAGGAAATGCTTTGGAAGAGGAGCAGATAGACCTCAGGTAAGGTATTGGTGAGGGTTTTTGGTTTGTTTATTTTTTTAATAACTTGGGAAGTATGTGTTACGCATAGAGTGTAAGGAAATAAATGACCAGAACACTACTTGCTTCTAACAACACGCTATTCTTTTTAGTAGCTATAGTGTGATGTTCTGTGAATGGCCGAGTTTGTTTTTCCTTTTTTCTTAGGATTTCATCTTAGTGGATTCCATGATGTTTAGAATGAGGATTCATCCCAGGCTGTATGTTTTCCTTTGATGATCGCTAACTTGATTCCTTTCTACTTGACTCTATTTTCATGAGATTGTGTATCGTCTTGGACTTTATATGTCTGTCCCTCTTACAGGCGTGGTCAAAAATGAAGGTGAGGAGTTTCTGGGGTGTTAGGAGGAGGCAGGGACTAAGACACTGAACAATTATGGGAACATCTTCACCTTTGTAAATCAAGCAAATGACTGTGTGTTGATGCTAACATCTGTGTGTTGATCCCTTCACAACCTCTGTGTTAGATGTAGAAGAAGGAAAAATCTAGTTGGATGCATTCACTGACCTCAGCCTTGGCCTGACCAACCCTTTTCAGGAAGTATATTCTCTTCAGGTCACTTGGAGTTGATTTTGTGTGCAACTCTTAAGTCTATGATTCAGGTCATATGGCTGTTTCTAAAACTGATCCTCTGCTCTTATGTGTGTCACAAACTGTTCTCTACAGGGAGAGTTTAAATAGGCTTGTGCTGTTCTGCCTAGAGAAGAGATATAGGCAGAGTTGTGCAGTGAGGAAGAGCTTGAAGGATGTGAATAATAAACAGCTATTTGCTGCTTTTCACAAGTCAAATCTTACATTGCATCAAAATGGGTATCATTAGATGATATAAAGGTGAAATATAAAGGAAAAGAACAAAAAGTCATACATGAAGCCTTAAGGTGCAGATTGGTGGAAGCTAGCCAGGTGGTCAGTGAGATGCTCTTAAACTCATTTCATCAGCATTGTTGACCCAAGGTGAAGTCTGGAGAGAGGTAATCATTTTAAGATTGAGAAGCTGAAGCTCCTTACTGTTTTAAAAACATTCTTTTTCTTGTGGGCAACTCTTTCTACCTCAATTTTTCAATGCAGAAATGTCATAGCTGTGCTCATTGCAAAGTATGCTGGAATCTGACAGTGCATTTTATTAGGTAATGATTCTTTCTGCACTGCGTTTTTCTGCATGGCAGTGGGTCAGTGGGCACATGGATCTGTCTCTAGATCTTTGATGACAAACAATGGAAGGTACAGCCTAGGAGAAATTCAAGCAGCCTCTCAATTAAAAAATAAATGAAATGGGTAGGAATATGCAGGTGCTGAGAACTTGGCCACACTGTTGAGAAGCTCTGGGATTTTCCTTTCAGCAATTGTTTGGAATGCCAGATTTTTGAACTGGAAATACTAGCTTCAGTCCAGAAGCTGAGTTGGTTGTTTACAGTAGCTGGCATCCCATTCAGTTAATAAATAGAGGAATGTGGGCTCATGAGATGCTGCAGCTCAAGAGTTGTCATGGATATTCAGGAAATCATGCCAGAAAGTCATTAAACTTCAGTCCAGAAACAGTCATTTTCCAGCACTTCATCATATGGCACAGATGTTCCCTTTGGGCTGTGCAAGGCTCTTATAGCAGATGGACCCCTTGGTGTACAGCAGCAAGGGCTGAGGTGTTGCCGACAGCTTGAAAGCATGGGTTCATTTATGTAATACTCTTACTGTGTCTAATGGGACAAACTCTGCTTTGCAGTTTTAGTCACAGAGGAGAAAATTTTGTTTCCAGAAGTTCTAAAGAGGTGAGATCTGGCATGGTTTCTCATACCAGCTCCTCCAAATTCTCTAAAGAAACCTTCTTTAGAAGCCCTGACTGCAATTGTGATAGCCTGCAGCAGACAACTGTAGTGAGGAAAAAAACTGGCTTTGTTTCCTATGAGTTCCAATGAGTTCTCGTTAAACTAGTCCGGTCTGCCCCTCAAGATGGTGCTAGGTGAATCTTGCTTCCATCAGGGTTTTGAGAGAGAAGGAATAAACACATCCTTAATAAAGGCATTGGTTTCATTAATGCTTTTGAACTTCTCAACCTGCATCGCAATGGACATGCTGTTTGGGTTGTCCATTGACAGAGAAATCCGTTAAAGAGCCTGGACTTCTCACATGATTCTACCCTCCCAGCTTCGTCAGAAAAAGCTTAAAGCTATTGACTTTTTGATAGCAAAGTTTAACTGGACAGAGGTAGGACTAAGGAAAATGGAGAAGCATGATACACCCATTTTTGTATTGTTTTAAGTTTTATACACCATTTTTGCCTATGTATTTGAGACTTGATAATCTTGGGATTAAGAAAGGCATTTATCTGTTGAACCTGTCGTTCATAAATGAAGTATGAAGGTAGTCAGAGCCTCCTTTTCTTTAGGCACGGATCACTATGAATGCATAAATACATGCATTGCTGTCTGCTATGGGTACTTAATCTGATTGCTGCAGTTAGTGTTGATTTTACGCTGATGAAGCTTTCACTTTGTTGTCCTATCTTTACTTGGCTGGCACCCTGCCCTCACTATAGCAAATACTGACAGTACTTGTCAAGGACAACAATGAGACCTTGTCGTCCCTTAAACAGCCTAAGGGAAACAAACAAACAAACAAAACAAAACAAAAAAAAAAAAACAAAAAAAAAAAACCACCACCAAGAATGAAACACAAAGCTCAAAAAAAGAACAGGATTTGTGCTAAATCCATTGTGGTGCATGGTGATGGTGTGTCTTGCAGAGCATCCTGGGAATTCCAGAGATTTGCAATTAGGAATGCAAACTTGACCTCAGACATCTCCTTACAAATCCTGACAGTGTTCATCACTGAAGCATCAGCAGGCGGACATAAACAAACACTGCTATTGCCATCCTTATTAAACCAAGATTCATCTGCATATTTCAATTCTCCTAGCAAATACAAGTGGAGAAAACAGTATGTGGTATACATAATAATTACTGCAATGGGATTGGCATTAACAGTTTACTTCGTTAGGGAGAGGAATACTGAGTTGATTCATGAGTTTTCATCTCTGTGCTACTTGAGTATAGAGTATAGAGCACAAAGAAGTGGAGGAAAGTAGTGTCTTTCATTCCCTACCCTTTTATCCTTGCCCATGTTTTATCTGTGAAAGTTCCTCATATTTTCTAAATAAATTAGCTTCAAGTGTTCTTTTTTTCTTGCCAAATAGAGGTGACCTTTTAAATCCTGCTTTTTTACATACTTAGTTTGTAGATTCCATTAGATTTTATTATCAGTTTTTACTTGTAAGAAATAATAATAATTTCTGACTTTTTCCTTCTTTTCTTTTAGTACTGAACTTAATATTTCTTCATGTGTTGTACTGTCAAAATGGATCTTTGGGAAATTAATTACTATTACAGGTGAAGCAGGTTAGAATAAATCCGATAAAAGTACAAACTCTTTTTGCATTTCCCAGATCTATTCTAAGATTTAATGTATGCCCTACAGCCAAAACCTAACTTTATATGACTTTTTAAAATTGATCATGCAAATGAGAAAAAAACCTATTTAGTTATGCCCAGTGAGTTTTAATTGTTTACTACAGTCCCAAGGTAGGACTGAAAAAGTAAGCACATGATATAACGTTCACTAGCCTATAAATATCTGCAGTGCATGTCATAAGGAATAATAAAAAAAAAAACTCATACATTCTTATTCTCTCTACTGTTTCTGTTTTCAGTATTTAGTGTCTTTTCTGCGGAAATGATAATTATTTCACAGCTCAATTTTTTTTTCCTCTTTCCAAAAGGTCCTCATCCTCTTAACATTTCCCTTTTTGGTTTTATAACAATGAGTCATACCTTTTAGATCCCACTCCTTGATCAAAACCAAGACAAGTTGATGACATTAAAAAAAAAAAAAAAAGTCATTCTTCCCCTTTAATATTATTATTATTATTATTATTATTATTATTATTATTATTATTATTATGGATAAATTAAGATGTGTATTTTAATTAAGATGTGTATTTTAATTTTGCCAGTCTATAACGTTGTCAGTAGAGTGTTTGAAACAGCACACCTCCAGATGCTGGAATATATGGATATTTTATTTTAATTATTCCACTGAAATGCTATGGGGTCAGATAATTCAGGTTAGAGTGTGTCTGATCTTGTGTCAGTTCTTTGGATGATTATCTTTCTCCTCTCTTTTTGTCTGTCTTGCCTCTTTCAAATGTAGGCTCCAGTGGACATGTTTACAAATAGCACGTAAGAGCACTGAAGATCCTTTCTGTTTCTATTTTAATGAAAGAAATTGAGGACAGGATTTTAAAGAATTTCCCCTTCTCCTTCTTATTTTGGTTCTTTCTAAACACTGATCGTTTGTTCTGTGTGTAGCAAGTTCAGTATTGTCGGAAATTGCTCTTTTTCATTGAATTTTCCTTAGAAAATTTTACTTTTTCCTTTTTATTAAAAACAAAGCAAAGTAATGGTAAGGGAAGGGAAGGAAGGAATTCTTTAATCCAAACTATGCTATGTGATGGGAAAACAAAAACAACAACAAAGTATGTTAATGACTTGCTTGTAAGGATAAATGTGCATTGGAAAAGAAAAAAAAGTGGGCAGGGAATACATGTGTTCTGTGCAGATGAGGAATCCCTTGGTGTCTTTTCCCTGCTGTATGTTCCTACATCATCAATTAAACATGCAAACATATGAATGAATGAAACCATAGAAGGTTGCTCATTTTGGGGGGTGTGTCTTGGAAATCCACTCAACAGCACACTAGTTTTAGGATGGAAGGGTAGTGTTTTCAGTAAAACTGAACTGCCTCTGAAGAAGAGGCAATTTTCTGTCCTTTGTCTATAATATGAAAAAAAAAGTTAATATTCAGTTTATTTGGATGATGTAATGAATCGATTTTGCTTATCCTGAGTAAATTTTAAAGATTTTTGTTTTCCCTGACTTTGTTTCATACATGCAGCTCCATCTGCAGAAAACAATGATTTGAGACCACTAATAGTACACTATTCTGTAGATATACTGTGTTTCAGAGCAAAATAGGTTCTTCAGACTCATATGCTGCATTCGTATCCTACATCTGAATTGCGGATATGCTGTAAGTTAACTTAGTCCTGTTCTTTTCTAGATAAGTTTGACTTTTTTTTTTTTTCCATGAAAAATAAGAAAATAGTGTTGACTTCAAATCTCTATTATGTGCTGTCAGCACAGGGTAACTAAAATCTGATCCTTGAAATGTGTTTAATAAATGCCGTAAGGGCTAATTACCAAAACTAGAACAGCTCTCATAGATTCTTTCCTGTATCTATGTGACCCATATATGTAGATATAGGAAGATGGTGAAGTTGGAGATACTTACCTTTTGTATTTGATATGAAGTGGAGAGCCTCTCCATTAATGCTGCAGAAAGGCTTTGTCACTGATTGAGGCCCCTGTATAGAAAGAAGGCAGCTGGAAGGTTGATAGAGGGCTTTTGAAGTGCCATTTGAAATCCAACTGGCACGTGACATTAAGTTTTTAGGGGGACCTAAGTAGTGTTTGCTCCCACTGTTAATCATGCAGTGTGCAATCTTATGCTTTATTAAAGGCTAACTGTGGGTGTATATATATATATATAGTAAAATACCCTGTCCTTGTTTGTTTGTTTGATTTTTGCAGATAGCTTTTCTGTTTTGCTTTGTAAAATGATGAATTCTAAATGGAACAGCTGTCTGTACAGGACGGTTTATTTGTCTTTTTTTTTTTTTTTTTTTAGTTTTCAGATTTATTCATATAAAAACCTGTCTGCTGATGCCAAGCCAAACTGTCAGCACATTTACCTCTATTAAAATGTAGGTGTTCTGACAACAAAGCAAAGAAATGCTGAAAAAATGCCTTTTATCTAAGCATGGATAACAGGCTTTTTTTCCTTGCACTTGCATCAGTCCCTGAACAGCCTCCTCCCACAGTTCTGATGTACCTGTGGGCAGTTAGCCTCAATTTCAGATCTACAAAATTTTGGTCTCATGGTGGTATTCAAGTGTAGAAACTGAGAACCGAATTGTCCAACAGTAGCAGGAGCTTATTTTAAAAGTTTTGTTATTAAAGTTTTGTAAATCTCAGGAATAAGAAAAAACTATCTTTGTGCCACATTATTCTAATGATCCAAAATGCTCTGCTTTAGCTAATTTTATATCTATTAAGTATGGTACAGTAAATGACTTCTAGCACAGAAGAGAAAAGTCCTTTGTTCACGTTACTCTTGTTCTTTTTGTACTCTAACTTTTCTTAACATAATATATTTATAGAAAAAAATAGAGATGGCTTTAAAATTTTTAAAATGAAGTACGCCACAACAGTTTTTTAAAGTTGTACAGTTTTCTAAAGCTGAATGAAGAGGGAGAACTTGGGAAGTACAGTACAGTAAGGAGAATGTGCTCTGAGTTAAAACAGATCTGGAAAGCATTAATTCTTTGCTGCTTATATTAATATAGTGTAGAAACCAAGAGAAAAGAAAGAAACAACACAAGTTTTGAGGCTTACTATTTCATAATTCTCTCTTCTGCTTTGAGTAGTTCTCTTTAGTTAAGGAGATCTAGCTCACAATATTGCCACAAATGGGCATCCAGAGAAAAACAGGAATGGGATATGCTTCTTTTGGGGTACCTTCTTTTCTAATGCAGTCTAGTCTTCATTTGTTTTCTCTTTGGTAAATCCCTGAAGTTATTATACTTTGTCAGTGTTGGATTTTTTTGCTTTCATCTTACCTTTCCATTTCAAATACTCGCTTGGAATTCCCTTGCATCCATTTCTTATACCCAAAATGTACACTGGCAAGGAATTTTAAATCCGCCATTCCGCAGAGTAAGGCAAAAAGCTGTGCTCTTGTCATTGGTCTGAATCTCCTGAATTTAGTGGGAAGACACTATCAGGGCAAAAGTAGATTGTTGTGATAACATCATGAGTTTCATTGTACGTGAATGCTAACTATATAAAATCATCACTTTTAATATTCCATGTTGTTGGTTTTACACGAAATAGCCACTGTCCTGAAATAAGAAAACATGCTGAAAGGATGGGAATTGGCAACAATTTAAAGCAAATGCTGCATTGGAAAAGATGCTTTTCACTTTTGTATCTTTTCTTGTTACAGTATTATTGAGTTGCCTCAAAATGATACAAATTGAGTATCTTAATATTGGAAGCATGCCCCCTGGTGTATGGTTTTTGTGGTTTTTCCTTTTTTTTTTTTTTTTTTTTATGGGTGGTTTTTTTTTTTTCCTCTCATTTTTTTTTTTTTTTTTTTTTTTTTTTTTCTTTTTTTTTCCTCTTTATTTGGGAGGAATACATAGTGGTATAATCAGGATGTGTTGTGCAGATTGTAAAAAAATCTGTGCAGTGCTTATTGAAAGTACCAGCTTTATTTCCAGTCAAGTGTAGAAATACGTAGAATCCCTTCAGCCTTCCCACTCAGGTAATTTTGCCATTGTTATTTCTTCCTCGTTCCTATCAAAGGGCCAAATTTTGCCTTCTCATATCTATGTGGCTTGTGCTTTGAATTTAAAAGAAGCACATAAGTTTTTGGAGATGTTTCATCTACGGATAGTGAATGCTTTTGTGTAGGCTTTGCTTAGTGCTCCCTTAGATGGCTAACGTATGTGTTTTCTAGCTTGACTGAAGGAAGCAAAACTTTATTTGGCTCATTCATTTATTTATTTTAAGAAGACTCATTCACCATGAGATATTTTATGAATTAATCTGGAAGATCAGAGTCTCTGGACTGTCATAACTTGTTTTAGACAAGTCATTAAATTTCAAAGTGTTCTATTTATCATGTTAACAAAAAATCAGTCAATTTCTGTGCTCCTTTCAGTTACAAATAGGTCAGAAGCTGCTTGATGCAAATTTTTGTCTATGGAACTTTCTATGATACTACTGTGATCTTTGCTAGAATTGCTTAATTTCACTAAAATGCAAATATGAATCTAAACTTTAAATATATATGTATTTGAATGCTTCAACATAATGATCCAGAACAATAAGCAAATAAAACAACCTATGATTTATCCATGCCTTGATTAATTTTAATCATAGCTATTTCTTAATTTAGACCTCTCCGATAATTAGGGTAAAATTTGCTTCTAATGAGAACACAACTGCTTGCTTAGAATGGGATTATGATAATTATTAGAGTTGCAGAGAAATTTGTTCCATAAGCTCTTAGAGGGGTTAGTTATCTGACCAAAAGCAAGATCAGTATGGTTGGTGCTAATTAAAGCAAATAGACTAAGGAATAAAAAAGATTTAATTGTGAATTTATGAATATCATTAAAAGCTTACATGGCTAGTTTAACTTGTATTATGCATTGTTGGGGGAAGAAAGAGCATCTGCATTCATAAGACAAACAGAAATGAGAAGTGACCTTCAATTTTGTAAAGCCTTTATAAGGAAGTTGTTTTAATGGAATAAACGTGGCTAAGCCTCTGATATGGGCCTTTGGCAAACCACAAATGATGAGTAATTAGCTCTACTGTGTGGGGTTAATTAATAAGAGATAGCTTAAAAATAAGCAGAAAATATGTTTGTCCAATACACTAGTAATGTAGATTATGATGATAATAAATTGCTGGTATTTTTTTATCTCTTTGTAGCGGTTTATAAACGTCAGCCATTTCTTGTCTTCAGCACCCTTATGACGTGAATATAGCTACTTCTCTTTTGCAGGTGACACAAACGCATGTTTATCACCAAAGAGCTGGTAGAAGTGAAGGCAATATGCTGAGGGCAAAGGCAGGCATGACCAAAGTGTAAGCATGAGCAAATATCTCTTCCAGGCAGAATTTATGTATAGGTAGATATGTCACTGTAAAGCTGTTGAGCCACAGTATTTCTTCTTCAGCCTCTGGGAAAAAGCAGATGGGAAGGTGCTGTTTTGAGAGATCTTGCACCATCCGGTCCTCCCTGTGAAATCCCATAGGCTGCTGTTGCTTCTTCAGAAATAACCCATAGCTTAATATCTTCTCCATTACCAAGAGGAGATGCAACAGCAGAGGGGCTACTTCAGCTGTCACTTTACTGGCTAGATGATTCCCCAGCATACAATTGAAAACCAAAATCTCATCCTTTCTCAGATTACTCTGTCAGGATGAGCGAAGTCAACAGCTTTGCTCATCCCTTCTGTCCTTTAAAGTGTCTGAATAAAAATCCTGAGAAATGGTGTACGCTACAGACTAACAGACAAGTTGGATTTTTAGATGCACGTTCTTACTTCCCTTGCAGTTCAGCTCAGGTTCAACCTCACAGTTTTCACCCAGTTGTTCCTTACAATATTGCTAGAAACTCCTTGATGAGCAGGAAAACTAGGCCTACATTTACCTTCTCTTTCCTCATTCTATATTTGAGCCCAGTAATTAGTGGAAGCTATAAAGTTGATTTTTATAAAAGCAATGTATCTTATAATTGCCTCAGTAGATGTTACTGACAATTTTAATAACATATTCTCGTCTTGAATTTCTTACGTCTCTAATATTTGAATAATAAATAATGACTGTATTGATTAAGCAATAAAATGAAATTATCTTTCACTTGATATTTTATCCGTGTAATTATATGACCACTAGTGACATGCCAGTTTTCTGTTTCCACACAAGTGTGCTTTAATTGTCAGGATTCTCAAAGAAATGTGTTGAAGGACACAATTAAAGACAACGTGCACAGTTAAATGCAAAAAAATGTTTGCTTGGGATGAGATAATCTACAAGAAAGTCAGGTCTTCAGCTGGTACAAACCGAGGTAGCTTCAGTGACTTTGTCTCTTGCTAACATTGTTGAAAAATCTGGGCTATTGAAAGAATTTTGAAGTTCTGTTTGCAGCCAAGCAGACCCTCATGAAATGCTGACATGCGTGAGATGGATTGATTGTCTGTTTTCTATCTACCCATCACAATTGAATCAGCGGTATAAATAAGTTACTCAGCATACAGTGTAAAAGAGATTATCTAATATACAGTAAGGGGGAAAAAAACTAAAAGGGAAGAAAAGATGAACAATGCAATAAGCTCTGTTACCACATAGGCTGGTGTAACTCCATTATTCTGCCTGCATTTACACTGCTGTTGTTCAGATCAGCATTCACCTCTTGTCTTAGAAATTGAATTTATCTCCCACAGCTTTTGTTTTTGCTCACATCCCAAGTTACATGCTTCTATGCCACTTTTTTCTTTTAATAATTTGTTTTGTAATAATTCTTTGGAGGCATACCAACTGAAGCAAGGAAGAGAGAATACAAAACTCGTAATTGAAGCATATTTTCCCCTTCACTTTAGAGATTTCCATGAGATTTGTATTGCCACAAAATGTAATGCAGCCTAATTTCAATAACAATCCCTGTTTAATGAGAAAACTGGGGATTCTTCTTTGAAACAAGATTTCAGGAGCATTTTCACCTGTTATTTGTACTCTTTTGCTTTCACATTGTGGCACTTTTTGCTGAAGAGCGGAGACAAGTTGAATATTTTTTTGGAGAGTGATCTTTACTTGCTTATTGACTTTATGAAACATTGTTGTCTTTAGTGCTTGCATTTGAAGTGAATCAAAAATTAGAGGAATAGTAATTATTTCAGGTACTACACAGCAATGCAGCTCTGGGAAACTCTTCCATGAATGGGGAAGAGGGACAATTCTTTTTGTGTGTTTTATTTTTAATGAAATATTTATAATTAATTACCTTTTAAAAACTGTCTTTAATTAGATGTTTGCCTAACTACTGTGAACATGGAGGAAAATGTTCTCAGTCCTGGACCACCTTTTACTGCGACTGTAATGACACGAGTTATATGGGGGCAACCTGTCATAACTGTAAGTAAACCCACGTGTTCAATGTTTTCTACTACGGCTGGTATCTCAAAGTGAGTGTAAGTTAGAGAGGAGTTTTATGAAAGATAATCATATATCATAGGATGCTATATGCTGTGACATAGCTATGCCAGGTCAAGAATTGGTCTAGGAGTGCCCACAGAAATCCACTGGTACATATGTTTATTTATGGACAAATATTTTGGAGAAAACAAAACCTAATTATTTTAACTGTTTTCCACATTCTTTCCTACTTTGTACATTGATTTGGAAAGTCTTGCATTCATTTATGTTATATATGCATCACTGGCATGTTGGTCATTATATTTTCTCACTGGTGAGAAAATATTTATATTATTTATATATATATTATATATGCATCACTGGCATGTTGGTTATTAGATTTTCTCACTGGTGACGTATGAGGGGAAATGGTCTCAAATTGCTCCAGGGAAGGTGTTTAGATTGGATATCAAGAAAAACTTTACAGAAAGGGTTGTTAAGCATTGGGATAGGCATCCAAGGGAGGTGGTTGAGTCACCATCCCTGGATGTGTTTAAAAACCCTTTGGATGTGGTGCTTAGGGACATTATTTAGCAGAGTCTTGTTAGATTTAGGGTAGTGTGGTTAAGTTGTGGTTGAATTTGATGATCTTGAGGGCCTTTTCCAGCCTGAGCAATTATGTGACTATGTTTCATTGAATTTAGCTAGGCTAAGATGGGTGATGTTAATCTCTTGTTGGGATTTTAAGTTAATTTTGGCACCAGTAATGAATATCTGATATAAAAATTATTCGCTTTTTGTTAGTCTGTCTTCTATTGTTATTCTGCACCAAATGTGTAGGCCAGTAGAGGGTATATGTGCCGTCTTTCTTATATGTTATCTTGAAGCTCAGATTGCAAGCATTCTGGTGAATGATTTAGATTGCTGCTATTAGGAAGGATACAGGATCTGAAATGCTGGCAGTACATGAAGCATGCAGCTACTGAAATCCACGGCAGTGAGTATTAAGGTGATTGAAAAACTTTAAGAAATGTACCAAATGCAGCACACTGGTAATTCTAACAAAACATATAGAAAGAAGAAAATGGAATAACATCAGTTCATAAAGCTAACTAAAAGAAAAAAAGCAACAACAACAACAAAAAGCCAAAATGAATGCAAAACTGGAGAAAAAGGGATGTTCTAAGTTCTACAGTTCTAAGAATACAGCTGTAATCTCTCCAGGTGTTTGCTGAACACTCAGGGGGCAGACAGGGTAAGACTGATAAGAGATTAATTTTTCTGTTAAGATAAAAAGTAGAGGAGGAGATATTCAGTGGTATGAAGCTGAGAATATTGGCAACTGTACTCTAATTCAGGAGATCCTAATTATTTGCTAATTAATAATGACATCATTTGTGGTGTGGAGTCTGTAGTAAATGGAAGAGGTAGTTGAGAGGTCTATTTATAGATTTTCCTTCCAAACTGAGAGCACCTGACCACTACATTGTAAGTACAAAGGAAGCTAAGCAGTACAAAAATCATCTGGATTATACCAAGTCAGATTGAAGGATGTGAAGAAAAATGAGTTTATAGTTTGGAAAAGAGGAATTACTGTTTGCCCAATGTTTCTGTTGTTCCAAAAAGCATGTGAGCTCACTGTGGCTTGTGTCTGAAGGAGGAGACCATATTTATTGCTCAGGGCTGGTTCTTGGCTAGTTTTCCATACAAACATTCATATAGAGTTAGTAAAGCCTCTTCTATGAATTCATGTATGTGCTGTCCCTCAGCTCTAAAGGCATATAGAGACCTGCAGTTATTTAAGGTTTACTGATGTAAAAACTGCTCTGAAAAGTTTCTTGAGAAAATCTATGTTAAGACTTTACAGCAGATCAAGCTGTGCACACATGATATACAGCTATTCAGCTGCTGAGCTTATTTACAACCATATTAACAACTAATTTGATTCCAGCTGGATTGTGGAGCCAGCGGTCCTGTAAGCCAAGCAACACTGATAAACAGCAACATTAAACCAGAGGAATGCATTCATCTGCTTGAGATGTCTGATGAAATCATTTCAAAGCCAGTGGGCAAAAGTTGGCTGCTGATAAGACACCTACAGAACAAGAGACGTTATCGCTTTCAGCTGATAGTGGTTGACATACAGGAGTAGCTTGTAGCAGGGTGAATGAAAGTCTCAGATCTGATCACAGTACTATACCAGAATATCCTCACCAAATAGGCAACTCCTCCAATCATGTTATTCAGTGTAGTTCTATCAAAAGCAAGCACCTAATTTCTCAAGTTTTGAAACATTATCTCAACAGGTTTTGATTTTTACTACAACATGAAAGCTAACAGGCCTGAAATTGAACTAGAAACATTTTATTTATTTACTTATTTGTACAAAACAGCCCTTCAGACATAAGTTTGCACAGAAACAGTGGAAAGATTTAAATGACAATCTGCTGCAAATCAAAATTAGTGTGAGTAGTATCATTGTCAGCTGTATTTCCTCTCTTCTAGAGTTGCATCAGTGTGATTTTTTTTTTTTACCTTTCACTGATATGAGAAGGCAAGCCTGTAAGAAGTTTGTCTTGGTTTCAGGAAGAACTGTATCATGCATATTTACAAATCAGAATTAAATGATTTATGTTTTATCAGCTCTGACTGGGGGATCTTACCATTTAAGAAGGGATATCTGAAGATATATTGACCCTGACTGTATGCCTTCATTTGTAAAATTGTGAGTGATATATTTCATGTTCAATAATTAAGCAATCTCAGTGGTTTCTTCCAAGAATTCATGGGATGCACTGGATCCCACTGTGAGGAACAGCTGATAGTATAGATTATCCCTGCTCCAAAGAGTTTTTCCTTCATGTTTTTGAGGGCAGAAAACATCCTGATGCATAGGATGGAGTATCAGAAAGTCTTCATCAGCATCACGTGCAGTGATTTTAGTCTACCAGGTACATAATTATTATGATGCTTCCTTGTAGGCAGAAAGTAATAAGGTATATTAAAAAGAGGAAGAAATGGAATGCTCACAGACATGAAGGAGTTATGTGGGAGAAAGCAATAATGTACTTGTTTGAAAAATATAAGGTTGTGGCCAGAGTAGTCTTGACATTTTTGACAGGGCAAATGCCAAAGTCATGACAGGTAGACTGGTTGGTAATATGCTGTGAAAAGCAAGGATAAATAGTTTGCCTTTGACACAACAGAAGGAAAGTATACAGTGGCAGGACAGAACAATAAGTTGATAGAAGACACAACTGGGACAATGTTTGCATGACCACGGCAGATAAATGGGACAAGATTATGTCTGCCATGACTCGAAATGGGTATAGCTGAAATTCAAGATGTGTGGATGAAGAGCAGAAGCACACATTTCAAAATAAATATAAAGAACTAGGTGACCTGCGCATATAATCCTTCCAGATATAGTCTTTCCAGCAGCGATTTGTGTGCTTCAAACCTCAGGCATCCTCCTGCTCATTCAAAATCCCTTCTGATTCTGATAGATCTATTAGTAGATAGATCTATAGTTACAGAAGGTATGGCAATCTACCTTATCCAGATGAGGGGCCACCAACAAAAGGCTGTAGGGTCATGTACCTTTAAATAGATATTCCACAGCAGACAGGTTTCACCTTGAAGTCTCATTTAGTCCTGCTTCTCCTCTTCTCTTGTCTGAACTTAACTGTCTGTACAAATAACAAATCCTTTAGTGTTTTTTGGATTTCTGTGACATATAGGAGGAGAGTGAAGGCAGGTTGTTTGCTTGTGCAGCTTGTTGCCCGATGCATAAGCCCATTTCTCTTAGTAACCACTAATTCTCCTTCACACATTTCCACGTGGAATATTTACTAACACCTTTCAAGCCTTCCCGTCACCCCAGTGGAGGAAGAGGATTTGAACTTACCTTTCATCCTTCCAGCTTCCAATGGAATTCATGTCTCCTTGCCAGCTTGACACAGCACGGGTTAGCAATGATGTGGACATGCAGTACAGTGGGGAATAAGGAACTTGTGCTGACTATCCCCAGATACTCATTTCACTGCCTAGTTTAAGGAGATAAGTCAGGGAATAAACCCGTGTGACATGCTCATCTATGAGTTTCACTGTGCTTTGATTTCTCTTCCTCTGTTGGGAATAACATCCAATCTGCAGGTATACTGGAAGGTGCATAATCCATATGTTATAAAGAAATGATACGGTTTATTTCTCTTGAAACTACTATTTGCTTTCTGCTTCTTGAGCTGATCCAGACTTAAGACAGTGCTTTGAGCATGCAGTATTTGTTTCAAGCCTGTAAAATGCCTGGTTTTGATTTCTGGTTAATCTTTTAAATGTGCTTCACCCAGCTTATATTTACATAGGTTAGGAGTTTAGCTGGGTCAAAAGCTTAATTAAATATGCTTTCCCAGTTGTTCTGTGTGGTGTGTAGCCTACTGATCTGTCAACTGCTGCACTTCATTGCTACATGTGTGAAACATGGCAGAGTATATGGTAATGTAATCTTTGTTTTCTGTTTTTCTATTTTAGATAGAAACACTGATTCTAGTGAACAGTGTAGGAAAAAGGTCTGGGCAGGGTTCAGCTCATTTAGTTTTCACTCTCAGGTGAACATCTTTGTGACATCTAATCTAAGTTAGTGATCTCACCTCTGCAACAGAGTGAGCTATTTTGTGAAGTTAATTGCATTGTATGACAGGGTGTCCATGGCAGGAACCACCTCTGCAATGTGCCAGTTTGTCTATTGGCTCCAGTTGCAGGCTGTCCTACCTTAGGCAAACAGTAGGCACTGGATCAGAGTTATAGGTGTATATATACAGAGAGAAAAGAACAGAGAGAGGAATTGTAGGTGTATAGATAATGTTTTAATTGAAAGGTCACAGTTTAAAACCTGAACAGTCATCTCTTTCATGCTGTTAAATCTGCTTGTAATTACCATGTGACAGAGAAAGCAATAGACCACTCTAAAATAGCCCTGAGATACAGACTGTTATCATTTT